TCGCTGGAACAGAGATTGGAAATGGCTGCACCTGCACTATACGCGCTACGGCTTACAAGTGTACGTCAAGGGAAACCGAGGCGGCTGCAGTGGAAAGTCTACGCTGGAGGAAGTCAAGACAATCGTGCGCGACGTGCTGGAGAAGTGGGGCCATCAGGCCGAAGTGATCTGCTCCCTACCGTGCCCCTGTAGAAGAAAGGCGGAGGAGTGTTTGCAGCATGGCTTGTCTACGTGCGCAAGCTGTCCGCACCTCTTGGACGCGTCTACCCTAAAGGCTGGAGACTACCCGCTGTGTAGACTTCCAGAACCGAAAACGAAGATGATCCGAGAGCAAGCCAGGTTCTGGTTGGGCCTTGATCAGGTGAGTCCGTGAGAGACTTGACAGTGAAATTGCAATGCTGTTTAACTCTGCTTACGACGAGAACTCTTCCCACACAAAGTTCCACATTGTCTTTGTTTTCTTAGAAACATGCCACTCTTTCCTCATCATATGGATGAGGAGATAAATATATTAGCCTACTCTAACTTAGGCGATTATAGATGGTGTGTAGATAATGATTATAGATGGCTTAATGGTGTATGTGTGTGTGAGTTTGCTTGTGTATGTGTGTGTGTGTGTGTGTGTGTGTGTGTGTGTGTGTGTGTGTGTGTGTGTGTGTGTGTGTGTGTGTGTGTGTGCGTTTGCTTGTGTGTGTGTGTGTGTGTGTGTGTGTGTGTGTGTGTATATGTATGTATGTGCATGTGTGTGTGTGTGTGTGTGTGTGTGTGTGTGTGTGTGTGTGTGTGTGTGTGTGTGTGTGTGTGTGTGTGTACGTGCATGTGTGCGTGCGTGCTTGTGTGCGTGTGTGACGGGGAGGGGGTGCGCACATGGATATGGGTGTGGGCGTGCATCTGTTTGTACGTTTGTGTGCACATGTGCACGCGTGTATGTCTGTGCGTGTATATATGTTGGACTCAGTAGACAGTCGGGTCACTATAGACAGTCCGAAGTCCAGTATGCAGTCTAAATCCTGTGAAGAGTTGGATAGTGTGCCACTAGGTATCTACAAGCAGTCGGATCCCTAGTGTGCAGTCAAAGTCCTACGAACACCACTCCTATGTACATGACTGTGTTAGATGAAACCACCAGCTAACTTCCTGCCCTACAACTACGTGAGTACCGAAGGTCGATCGCCACGCGAATCTTTCTTTCTTGCCGAGAGCTTTCTGGCCCCCACACTCCGTCAGGTTCTAGAAATGTGTCCACTGACTAGCTGCTGCTAGTATCATTCCTTTCTTCAGCTCCACGAGCGAAAGACTCCAGCGCAGCAGTCTGTTGTACTAAGTCTTGTTAGTTGTAGCTGCTCTTCCCTGGGAAGTAGGAAGTAATAGGTGAGAAGGTACTGAGAACTGATGCACAGTTCTTCAAACCATCCTTCACAGTCCATGATTGGCGGATGCAGCGGGTGCCTGATCACAACTGACAGACTTCATACTCGACATGTTTCGACTTCTACAGGAAAAGTTGCAGTTGCTTGAGTTTGACGGAGTCATGAAAATACGACTAGATCATGAGTTCGACTCCCTACTGGACTTCCGACTGTTTATAGGACAAGGACTGCACACTGAGTCCAGTGGGTGTATGTTTATGTTTGCTTGCTTGCAATTTGTCTCTTGCAATACCTGCAGGGTGCCAATAAAATGTTGGTGGAGCACCCAGGATCGGCCTCTCCTCTTTCAGGTTAGTTGAATATGCAATGTAAAACGGTAAGGTACTTCCAAATGAGCTTTGCCTGAGATCGCGTAAGCATGAAGCTGGAGTCGCAATAATGTCAACCGCCCAATATTCGCGTCGCTAAATTTTCGCTATCTCGGAACCAGCGAGTCCACGATGTAAAGTGTTTCCGGATCACTGTGGCCACACGCATACATCCACTGTTAAGTTGGACATAATCTCTCCTCACAGACAGTCTCCTCTTGAATTTAAAAGTCTAACAGCGGTCACATCAATTCAAAAGCTCGCCAGGAGTAAGAAGCAAGTTTTGAAGCTCTGAGTGTCGTGACCACGTCCCCACCCTAGAAGCATATATGCACTGCTATTATTACCTATCTAGCATGGATGACTCCCCAGCGCCAGGCAGCCCAAAGCCTGAGCCCCCAGAGCCACTGTGGAGGTCGATGTCGCCGGCCGAATTGAAGGCCAATACCGTAATATTTGTCGACGGCCTCGCAGGCCAGAAGATAGTAGAAATTCCCGTTTAAAAGGCGCCCCATGCCGAAAACCAACTATATAGTGACACACGAAATGATACAGCTGGGGGGGGGGGGGGAGATCAATGGTACTTTACCACACATTAATTGCCATAATCATGTCATGTGTGTGTGTGTCACTGTGTGTGTGTGTTTATGTGTGTGTATGTGTATGTGTGTGTATGTGTGTGTGTGCGCGCACGCGCGCGTGTGTGTGTGTGGTGAGTGAGTGCATGCATGCGTACACGTGTGTGTGCGTGCGTGCGTGCGCGCGCGTGTGTGTGTGTGTGTGTGTGTGTGTGTGTGTGTGTGTGTGTGTGTGTGTGTGTGCGTGTGTGTGTGTGTGAAACTGTTTTGTGTGTGCATGTATGTGTGCCCTGCACATATGCGTGCACACGTATTCTGACATGCGTGAATGTTTTGCTGTCCAGTCAAGCGCGGGGCCCAGCAACGAGCAGAGTGAGTATAGTGTTGTCTGTTGCTGAATAACTGGGGGGGGGGGGGGGGGGTCAGCCTCCTAGCCTAGGCCGTTCCTATTTTCATGTTTTACAGTCAATGCACAGTTGAGTCACCGTGTATACATTGGTATGCTGCGGTTGATGAAATTCTAGCCTGGTCGTTCTTCGGCGCTCCATTCCTCAACACCCGATAGCAGTGTATTAGTAATGCACGAAACTCTAACAGTCGGTCATGGTCTGGAGAATATGAAGAAAAATTCAAGTGACTTTAAAAATATAAGGAGATAGCTGGCAACTTACAAGTAGATCAGAGTCGTAGTGTGTATTAGTTATCATTTTACTTTGGCATTCCCAACAGAGCCCAAGGTCTTCTTGCAGTGTGCCCAAGATGTGTGTCTTGGTACAGTGGTTAGTGCTTGTTATCCAAGTGCGATTGCGAACATTTACATGTACATACAGTCGGATCACTTGGTTCTAATGCTCCACCAGGCAAACGCAAACTAGGTCGTGGTGAAGAAGAAGAAAAAAACGTCGATGCTCCACTTCTCCACCACGTGTCTGTCAAACTTGGTGCGAGTGAGCCGTAAATTTTTTAACTTATTCCATTCACGAATTCTTGCATCCGGCATCAGCTTGAAAGGTCTTCATTTTTAGCAAATACCGTAAAAGCCCCTGTATACGCCCACTCGAAATTACGCCCACCCTCCGTGTACACGCCCAGTCAGGGGAAGTCAACACTTTTGTTTCAAAATAGCGCCCATACCTATGTATACGCCCAGGTATGCCGGAAACACCAGTACATGTACAGGTGCTGATACCCAATACTTACTGCTATCCTTATTTCAAGTATACGCCTGGTTCCAAAATAACGCCCGTGCCCTTGTATACGCCCAGGAAATCGAGGCTGCTATTCTATACGCCCGGGGCCTATACACGGGCTTTTACGGTAGTTAATTTTACTTCAAAGTATCAACTAACACAAGGTGTTGTAGCACCTCTCCTATCATCTATCATTTAGTGCAGAGTATTTGCATTGAATTGTTTCACATTTATTACATGACAATATGGGGCAGCCATATTGGTCCCAACTCCACTCGACCCCTGCCGCTATGTACGGGTCACATTATGTCGGCCACGTTTGTTCCACTGTCCACATGCCAGGCGTGTGCGCTGGTGCCCTTCAAGGGGGGTTCCGAGGTCCGGGGGCCTCCTGCGGGAACATTTTCAAAAAATGAAGCAAAATCCTGCATTTTGAGCGAAAAAGGCGGGTTCCGGGCACCCAGGAACCCATACGGGGCACGCGCCTGCAGGCCATGACCAGTGTGTGCACACATTTAGTCACATGACCAGGATGTGAACACCAGTCTATAACTGATTTTCACACAAGTATCCATGGTACAGTGAAACCTGTCTAAGACGACCGCTCAAGGGACCTTACAAATGTGGTTCCCGTGTACAGGTGTTCTCCTTATCCAGGGTCATTTGACTGGAAATTACATCCCTTGGTCCTATCTGTATTGGTCCACTAGGACGGCTGGTCGCCTTGTCAGAGTGGTTGCCTTGACAGGTTTTTCTGTATTGGTTTCCCCGTCCTGCTACACTGCTTATACATGTAGTAGTGAGTTTGGGTGAATCTTCTCCTGCCCAGCATAATAATGATACTGAGCCATACTTTCATTCACACATGCACGCTAGCTCGCACGCTAGCTACTGTTGTAAAGGCACGCTAACTTACGAGCAACGACGTAGTGGTCACGCTGTGTGAGGACCATGCCAAGTGCATGACAACTTGAACTGACATGCACAAGCAGTCACCCGTCACCTGTGTTTGTGTGTAGTCTGCCACTCAGGACTCAGCACTCTGGTGTTTGGAGCACCACTGTATCAGCAGAAATATTCGTCTGCAATTTAGTTGCGTCTTTTTCGTCCAAGGAGCTTTTGGACTAAATTAAATGCCGGACTAATGTCGATTTTGTCCAGCTTTTCAATACACTCTTATGATCCATGGACGAAATTTACAACCGGACGAACTCCCTTTCTTTGGAGTTAGACGAAATTATTGACCGACGGAATGTTCTGCCAGTAAAGTTTATCAAACTGCCTCTACTGGCCAGGAATGCACATAACATTTTCATGCATCTTCAACCTCTTCTTTATGCTGATTAAAAATCCGATGTTGAGCCAATAGTGTTACTTTTATAAGAAAGAAGAAAGGGCCGATAAGTATACATCTCGTTACCTTGGTGGACTGTTAGTCATAACTCGTAACTTATAGGTCCGTTCTCTTTTCTCCTTTGTGCATTCTACTTTCAGTGGCGGAGCGGAGGCGCCAACGGCTAGGCTACCAACGACAAAGGAACCCAAGAAGAAGTGTAAGCCGCGCAGCATCATGTGATTCACTGTGTCATGCTGACGGCTATGCTAGAGCAATATTGATGTATGGAGTGCAAGTAATTTTAGTTGGATCGATGTGTGTGTGTGTGTGTGTGTGTGTGTGTGTGTGTGTGCGCGTGCACGTGTGTGTGTGTGTATGTGTGTGTGTGTGTGTGTGTGTGGTGAGTGCGTGCGTGCATGCATGTGTACACGTGTGTGTGTGTGTGTGTGTGTGTGTGTGTGTGTGTGTGTGTGTGTGTGTGTGTGTGTGTGTGTGTGTGTGTGTGTGTGTGTGTGTGTGTGTGTGTGTGTGTGAAACTGTTTTGTGTGTGCATGTATGTGTGCCCTGCACATATGTGTGCACACGTATTCTGATGTGCGTGCATGTTTTGCTGTCCAGTGAAGCTCCGGGTCAGGCGTGGGGTCAAGCGGTCGGAACAGAAGGGTATGCATCGAGGTCGATTGCATCAACAGCAACAAGCAGAGTGAGTATAGTGTTGTCTGTTGCTGAATAACTTGGGGGGGGGGGGGGGGTCAGCCTCCTAGCCTAGGCCGTTTCTATTTTCATGTATTACAGTCAATGCACAGTTGAGTCACCGTGTATACATTGGTATGCTGCGGTTGATGAAATTCTAGGCTGGTCGTTCTTCGGCGCTCCATTCCTCAACACCCGATAACAGTGTATTAGTAATGCACGAAACTATAACAGTCGGTCATGGTCTGGAGAATATGAAGAAAAATTCAAGTGACTTTAAAAAGATAAGGAGATAGCTGGCAACTTACAAGTAGATCAGAGTCATAGTGTGTATTATATTAATTATCATTTTACTTTGGCATTCCCAACAGAGCCCAAGGTCTTCTTGCAGTGTGCCCAAGATGTGTGTCTTGGCACAGTGGTTAGTGCTTGTTATCGAAGTGCGATTGCGAACATTTACATGTACATACAGTCGGATCACTTGGTTGTAATGCTCCATCAGGCAAACGCAAACTAGATCGTGGTAAAGAAGAAGAAAAAACGTCGATGCTCCACTTCTCCACCACGTGTCTCTCAAACTTGGTGTGAGTGAGCCGTAATTTTTTTTAACTTATTCCATTCACGAATTCTTTCATCCGGCACCAGCTTGAAAGGTCTTCATTTTTAGCAATTACCGTAAAAGCCCCTGTATACGCCCACTCGAAATTACGCCCACCCTCCGTGTACACGCCCAGTCAGGGGAAGTCAACACTTTTGTTTCAAAATAGCGCCCATACCTATGTATACGCCCAGGTATGCCGGCAACACCAGTACATGTACAGGTGCTGATACCCAATACTTACTGCTATCCTTATTTCAAGTATACGCCTGGTTCCAAAATAACGCCCGTGCCCTTGTATACGCCCAGGAAATCGAGGCTGCTATTCTATACGCTCGGGGCCTATACACGGACTTTTACGGTAGTTAATTTTACTTCAAAGTATCAACTAACACAAGGTGTTGTAGCACCTCTCCTATGATCTATCATTTAGTGCAGAGTATTTGCATTGAATTGTTTCACATATATTACATGACAATATGGGGCAGCCATGTTGGTTCCAACTCCACTCGACCCCTGCCGGTATGTACGGGTCACATTATGTCGGCCACGTTTGTTCCACTGTCCACATGCTTGGCGTGTGCGCTGGTTCCCTTCAAGGGGGGTTCCGGGGTCTGGGGGCCTCCCGCGGGAAAATTTTCAAAAAATGAAGCAAAATCCTGCATTTTGAGCGAAAAAGGCGGGTTCCAGGCACCCAGGAACCCATACGGGGCACGCGCCTGCAGGCCATGACTAGTTTGTGCACACATTTAGTCACATGACCAGGATGTGAACAGCAGTCTATAACTGATTTTTACACTAGTATGCATGGTACAGTGAAACCTGTCTAAGACGACCGCTCGAGGGACCTTACAAATGTGGTTCCCGTGTTCAGGTGGTCTCCTTATCCAGGGTCATTTGACTGGAAATAACATCCCTTGGTCCTATCTGTATTGGTCCACTAGGACAGCTGGTCGCCTTATCAGAGTGGTTGCCTTGACAGGTTTTTCTGTATTGGTTTCCCCGTCCTGCTACACTACATGTAGTAGTGAGTTCGGGTGAATCTTCTCCTGCCCAGCATAATAATGATACTGAGCCATACTTTCATTCACACATGCACGCTAGCTACTGTTGTAAAGGCACGCTAACTTACGAGCAACGACGTAGTGGTCACGCTGTGTGAGGACCATGCCAAGTGCATGACAACTTGAACTGACATGCACAAGCAGTCACCCGTCACCTGTGTTTGTGTGTAGTCTGCCACTCAGGACTCAGCACTCTGGTGTTTGGAGCACCACTGTATCAGCAGAAATATTCGTCTGCAATTAAATTGCGTCTTTTTCGTCCAAGGAGCTTTTGGACTAAATTAAATGCCGGACTAATGTCGATTTGTCCAGCTTTTCAATACACTCTTATGATCCATGGACGACATTTACAACCGGACGAACTCCCTTTCTTTGGAGGTAGACGAAATTATTGACCGACGGAATGTTCTGCCTGTAAAGTATATCAAACTGCCTCTACTGGCCAGGAATGCACATAACATTTTCATGCATCTTCAACCTCTTCTTTATGCTAATTAAAAATCCGATGTTGAGCCAATAGTGTTACTATAAAAAGAAAGAAGAAAGGGCCGATAAGTATACATCTCGTTACCTTGGTGGACTGTTAGTCATAACTCGTAACTTATAGGTCCGTTCTCTTTTCTCCTTTGTGCATTCTACTTTCAGTGGCGGAGCGGAGGCGCCAACGGGTAGGCTACCAATGACAAAGGAACCCAAGAAGAAGTGTAAGCCGCGCAGCATCATGTGATTCACTGTGTCATGCTGAGCGCTATGCTAGAGCAATATTGATGTATGGAGTGTGTGTAATTTTAGTTGAATCGATGTGTGTGTGTGTGTGTGCGTGTGTGTGCGTGTGTGCGTGTGTGTGTGCGTGTGTGCGTGTGTGCGTGTATGTGTGTGTGTGTGTGTGTGTGTGTGTGTGCACGCGCGCGTGCGTGTGTGTGTGTGTGTGTGGTGAGTGCGTGCATGCATGCGTACACGTGTGTGTGTGTGTGTGTGTGTGTGTGTGTGTGTGTGTGTGTGTGTGTGTGTGTGTGTGTGTGTGTGCGTGCGTGTGTGTGTGTGTGTGTGTGTGTGTGTGTGTGTGTGTGCACGCGCGCGTGCGTGTGTGTGTGTGTGTGTGGTGAGTGCGTGCATGCATGCGTACACGTGTGTGTGTGCGTGTGTGTGTGTGTGTGTGTGTGTGTGTGTGTGTGTGTGTGTGTGTGTGTGTGTGTGTGTGTGTGTGCGTGTGTGTGTGTGTGTGTGTGTGTGTGTGTGTGTGTGAAACTGTTTTGTGTGTGCATGTATGTGTGCCCTGCACATATGTGTGCACACGTATTCTGATGTGCGTGCATGTTTTGCTGTCCAGTGAAGCTCCGGGTCAGGCGTGGGGTCAAGCGGTCGGAACAGAAGGGTATGCATCGAGGTCGACTGCATCAACAGCAACAAGCAGAGTGAGTATAGTGTTGCCTGTTGCTGAATAACTGGGGGGGGGGGGGGTCAGCCTCCTAGCCTAGGCCGTTCCTCTTTTCATGTATTACAGTCTATGCAGAGTTGAGTCACCGTGTATACATTGGTATGCTGCGGTTGATGAAATTCTAGGCTGGTCGTTCTTCGGCGCTCCATTCCTCAACACCCGATAGCAGTGTATTAGTAATGCACGAAACTATAACAGTCGGTCATGGTCTGGAGAATATGAAGAAAAATTCAAGTGACTTTACAAAGATAAGGAGATAGCTGGCAACTTACAAGTAGATCAGAGTCGTAGTGTGTATTATATTAATTATCATTTTACTTTGGCATTCCCAACAGAGCCCAAGGTCTTGTTGCAGTGTGCCCAAGATGTGTGTCTTGGTACAGTGGTTAGTGCTTGTTTTCCAAGTGCGATTGCGAACATTTACATGTACATACAGTCGGATCACTTGGTTGTAATGCTCCATCAGGCAAACGCAAACTAGGTCGTGGTAAAGAAGAAGAAAAAACGTCGATGCTCCACTTCTCCACCACGTGTCTGTCAAACTTGTTGCGATTGAGCCGTACATTTTAAACGTATTCCATTCACGAATTCTTGCATCCGGCATCAGCTTGAAAGGTCTTCACTTTTAGCATATAGTTAATTTTACTTCAAAGTATCACCTAACACAAGGTGTTGCAGCACCTTTCCTATCATCTATCATTTAGTGCAGAGTATCTGTATTGAATTGTTTCACAACTATCACATGACCACACAGGACAGCCATGTTAGTTCCAACTACACTCAACTCCTGCATCTATGGGTCATATGATGTCGGCCATATTGGTTCCAACTCCACTCGACCCCTGCCGGTATCTATAGGTCACATGATGTTGGCCATGTTTGTTTCACTGTCCACACGCCAAGCGTGTGCGCCGATGCCCCTCAAGGGGGGTTCCGAGGTCCCTCCCCCGGGAAAATTTTCAAAAATGAAGCAAAATCCTGCATTTTGAGCGAAAACGGGGGGTTCCGGGCACCCAGGAACCCATACGGGGCACGCGCCTGCAGGCCATGACCAGTTTGTGCACACATTTAGCCACATGACCAAGATATGAACACCAGTCTATAACTGATTTTCACAACAGTATCCATGGTACAGCGTGACCTGTCTAAGATGACCACTCAAGGGACCTTACAAATGTGGTTCCCATATACAGGTGGTCTCCTTATCCAGGGTCATTTGACTGGAAATAACATCCCTTGGTCCTATCTGTATTGGTCCACTAGGACAGCTGGTCGCCTTATCAGAGTGGTTGCCTTGACAGGTTTTCTGTATTGGTTTCCCCGTCCTGCTACACTGCTTATAGCAGTGAGTTTGGGTGAATCTTCTCCTGCCCAGCATAATAATGATACTGAGCCATACTTTCATTCACACATGAAGCTGGCTACTGTTGTAAAGGCACGCTAACTTACGAGCAACGCCGTAGTGGTCACGCTGTGTGAGGACCATCCCAAGTGCATGGAAACTTGAACTGACATTCACAAGCAGTCACCCATCACCTGTGTTTGTGTCCAGTCTGCCACTCAGGACTCAGTACTCTGGTGTTTGGAGCACCACTGTATCAGCAGAAATATTCGTCTGCAATTTTATTGCGTCTTTTCCGTCCAAGGAGCTTTTGGACTAATTTAAATGCCGGACTAGTGTCGATATATTCTGCTTTTCAATACACTCTTATGATCCATGGACGAAATTTACAACCGGACGAACTCCCTCTCTTTGGAGCTGGACGAAATTATTGACCGACAAAATTTTCTGCCAGTAAAGTTTATCAAACTGCCTCTACTGGCCATGAATGCACATAGCATTTTCATGCATCTTCAAACTCTTCTTGATGCTGATTAAAAATGGGATGTTGAGCCAATAGTGTTACTTTTATAAGAAAGAAGAAAGGGCCGATAAGTATACATCTCGTTACCTTGGTGGACTGTTAGTCATAACTCGTAACTTAAACATGTAGGTCCTTTTTTCTTTCTTCTTTGTGCATTCTACTTTCAGTAGCGAAGCGGAGGCGCCAACGGCGACAAAGAAGAAGTGTAAGCCGCGCAGCATCATGTGGTGCACTGTGTTATGCTGAGCGCTATGCTAGAGCAATATTGATGTACGGAGTGTGTTATTTTAGTTGAATCCGTGTGTGTGTGTGTGTGTGTGTGTGTGCGTGTGTGCGTGTATGTGTGTGTGCGCGCGTGTGTGTGTGTGTGTGTGTGTGGTGAGTGAGTGGATGCATGCGTACACGTGTGTGTGTGTGTGTGTGTGTGTGTGTGTGTGTGTGTGTGTGTGTGTGTGTGTGTGTGTGTGTGTGTGTGTGCGTGCGTGTGTTGTTGTGTGTGTGAAACTGTTTTGTGTGTGCATGTTTGTGTGCCCTGCACATGTGTGTGCACACATATTCTGACATGCGTGCATATTTTGCTGTCCAGTCAAGCGCGGGGTCAAGCGCGGGGCCAGGCGGTCGGAACAGAAGGGTATGCATGGAGGTCGACTGCATCAACAGCAACAAGCAGAGTGAGTATAGTGTTGTCTGTTGCTGAATAACTGGGGGGGGGGGGTCAGCCTCCTAGCCTAGGCCGTTTCTATTGTCATGTATTACAGTCTATGCAGAGTTGAGTCACCGTGTATACATTGGTATGCTGCGGTTGATGAAATTCTAGGCTGGTCGTTCTTCGGCGCTCCATTCCTCAACACCCGATAGCAGTGTATTAGTAATGCACGAAACTATAACAGTCGGTCATGGTCTGGAGAATAGGAAGAAAAATTCAAGTGACTTTAAAAAGATAAGGAGATAGCTGGCAACTTACAAGTAGATCAGAGTCGTAGTGTGTATTATATTAATTATCATTTTACTTTGGCATTCCCAACAGAGCCCAAGGTCTTCTTGCAGTGTGCCCAAGATGTGTGTCTTGGTACAGTGGTTAGTGCTTGTTATCCAAGTGCGATTGCGAACATTTACATGTACATACAGTCGGATCACTTGGTTGTAATGCTCCATCAGGCAAACGCAAACTAGGTCGTGGTAAAGAAGAAGAAACAACGTCGATGCTCCACTTCTCCACCACGTGTCTGTCAAACTTGGTGCGAGTGAGCCGTAAATTTTTGAACTTATTCCATTCACGAATTCTTGCATCCGGCATCAGCTTGAAAGGTCTTCATTTTTAGCAATTACCGTAAACGCCCCTGTATACGCCCACTCGAAATTACACCCACCCTCCGTGTACACGCCCAGTCAGGGGAAGTCAACACTTTTGTTTCAAAATAGTGCCCATACCTATGTATACCCCAGGTATGCCGGCAACACCAGTACATGTACAGGTACTGATACCCAATACTTACTGCTATCCTTATTTCAAGTATACGCCTGGTTCCAAAATAACGCCCGTGCCCTTGTATACGCCCAGGAAATCGAGGCTGCTATTCTATACGCCCGGGGCGTATACACGGGCTTTTACGGTAGTTAATTTTACTTCAAAGTATCAACTAACACAAGGTGTTGTAGCACCTCTCCTATCATCTATCATTTAGTGCAGAGTATATGCATTGAATTGTTTCACATCTATCACATGACAATATGGGGCAGCCATATTGGTTCCAACTCCACTCGACCCCTGCTGGTATGTATGGGTCACACGATGTCGGCCATGTTGGTTCAACTGTCCACAGGCCAGGCGTGTGCGCCGGTGTTCTTCAAGGGGGTTCCTTTCTTTCAAAAAATGAAGCAAAATCCTGCATTTTGAGCGAAAAAGGGGGGTTCCGGGCACCCAGGAACCCATACGGGGCACGCGCCTGCAGGCCATGACCAGTTTGTGCACACATTTAGTCACATGACCAGGATGTGAACACCAGTCTATAACTGATTTTCACACAAGTATCCATGGTACAGTGAAACCTGTCTAAGACGACCGCTCAAGGGACCTTACAAATGTGGTTCCTGGTTGTAGTGGTCCGTCCACTAGGACATATGGTCGCCTTATCAGAGTGGTTGCCTTGACAGGTTTTTCTGTATTGGTTTCCCCGTCCTGCTACACTGCTTATAGCAGTGAGTTCGGGTGAATCTTCTCCTGCCCAGCATAATAATGATACTGAGCCATACTTTCATTCACACATGCACACTAGCTTGCACGCTAGCTACTGTTGTAAAGGCACGCTAACTTACGAGCAAGGACGTAGTGGTCACGCTGTGTGAGGACCATGCCAAGTGCATGAAAACTTGAACTGACATGCACAAGCAGTCACCCGTCACCTGTGTTGGTGTGTAGTCTGCCACTCAGGACTCAGCACTCTGGTGTTTGGAGCACAACTGTATGAGCAGAAATATTCGTCTGCAATTTAATTGCGTCTTTTTCGTCCAAGGAGCTTTTGGACTAAATTATATGCCGGACTAGTGTCGATATATTCTGCTTTTCAATACACTCTTATGATCCATGGACGAAATTTACAACCGGACGAACTCCCTCTCTTTGGAGCTGGACGAAATTATTGACCGAAAAAATTTTCTGCCAGTTAAGTTTATCAAACTGCCTCTACTGGCCAGGAATGCACATAGCATTTTCATGCATCTTCAATCTCTTCTTGATGCTGATTAAAAATCGGATGTTGAGCCAATAGTGCTACTTTTGTAAGAAAGAAGAAAGGGCCGATAAGTATACATCTCGTTACCTTGGTGGACTGTTAGTCATAACTCGTAACTTATACATGTAGCCGCAATCAGTAATACAAGCTGGATCGACATTTGTGTACACTGTATTCATGTAATGTAAAACTGTGGAGACAATGTGCAATAAAACGAAGAAAATGTGAAGAAATTGTGTAGAGAAAAAAAGGGATTCAAATCATTCAAACATGTTTTCGTACAACACTCATCAGGAATCTTCGTTGTACTAAAGGACACTGAAAACAAAATTGAACTATTATAGAAAATCTAAGTTAGAGAAATAACACTAAGAACAACAGCAGTGAAATTTACAAGTGTGAATTTTAACAATGAAAGCGAGAGCAATAACGAATGTGTGTACGAACACTAAACTTGCAACTGAAAAATGAACAAAGAAGAGAAAGAATGAAGGAAGGACAAAGTGATAACAAATAACAGCAGTACATTACACCTAGAACATTAACGGCCAAGCTTGGCCGCACCAAACATGACACTTTACTTGAACAATTTCAACCCAATTATACTATCTTTCTGTACACACAAATTAGGCGTATACAAACGCTGACAGATGGCTTCCAAAACTTTTAACTGTAGTCCATAACCATGACGACCACGGCACAATACAGTGAATGAAGAGTCGGAATACGAATTGCAACAATCAGGACTAGCCAACAGATGATTGTACACTGAAGACTTGCTACCACGAAACCTACGCACAACACTAACATTCTCACCGGCACTCTCACGATCACTACAATCGTCGCTCTCCGACTCATTGCCTCCTTCACTGTCCGTCCCATCATCTGCTTCCTCTGCGCTCTCTCTGTTATCCCGCCTGACATGGTCTATTGAACGGGACTCGGCCGTCACCCTGCTGTTACGTCCCTCCTTACGCCCTGATTGTTGCAATTCGTATTCCGACTCTTCATTCACTGTATTGTGCCGTGGTCGTCATGGTTATGGACTACAGTTAAAAGTTTTGGAAGCCATCTGTCAGCGTCTGTATAAGCCTAATTTGTGTGTCCAGAAAGTTAGTATAATTGGGTTGAAATTGTTCAAGTAAAGTGTCATGTTTGGTGCGGCCAAGCTTGGCCGTTAATGTTCTAGGTGTAATGTACTGCTGTTATTTGTTATCACTTTGTCCTTCCTTCTTTCTTTCTCTTCTTTGTTCATTTTTCAGTTGCAAGTTTAGTGTTAGTACACACATTCGTTATTGCCCTCGCTTTCATTGTTAAAATTCACACTTGTAAATTTCACTGCTGTTGTCCTTAGTGTTATTTCTCTAACTTAGATTTTCTATAATAGTTCAATTTTGTTTTCAGTGTCCTTTAGTACAACGAAGATTCCTGATGAGTGTTGTACGAAAACTTGTTTGAATCCCTTTTTTTTCTCTACACAATTTCTTCACATTTTATTCGTTTTATTGCACATTGTCTCCACAGTTTTACATTAAATGAATACAGTGTACACAAATGTCGATCCAGCTTGTATTACTGATTGCGGTTATCAAATTGTTGTCTCCTCGCCGTTTGTTTATACATGTAGGTCCTTTCTTCTTTCTTCTTTGTGCTTTCTAATTTCAGTAGCAGAGCGGAGGCGCCACCGGCGAAAAAGAAGATGTGTAAGCCGCGCAGCATCATTTGGTGCACTGTGTTATGCTGAGCGCTATGCTAGAGCAATATTGATGTATGGAGTGTGTTATTTTAGTTGAATCCGTGTGTGTGTGTGTGTGTGTGTGTGTGTGTGTGTGTGTGTGTGTGTGTGTGTGTGTGTGTGTGTGTGTGTGTGTGTGGTGAGTGTGTGCATGCATACATGCGTACATGCGCGCTTGTGTGTGTGTGTGTGTGTGTGCGCGCGCGCGCGCGCGTGCGCGTGCTTGTATGTGTGTGCGCGCAGATTGTTTTAGTAGTTTTTAGTACTGTCAGTATTACTCGCTCATGTAGTGGTTCATCTGACCCGCTACAACCTCCTAGCTGGCACAATTTGCCATTGCACACAGTGCTAAATGTGCTGTAGACAGTACAGTGGTGAAACACGCCAGGGGCATTGGAAGGTATCCTACATTTGTATGGCTATGAAAAGACCCACGAAAAGGCTCTCCATCTGGAAAAGGTTTTGATAAATTGTGCCAAAAGAGCCTACTGTATATCAACTAATTTTGGCTGCTGAGAAACTTTGGCCGATCTCGAATTGAAACTTTTTCGGCCGATTGGGGTTTAGACAGAAACGATCGGTAGCTGTTGCTTTCACACGCAGCCATGCCTCTTTCATGCATCATTTCCCTCGGTGACAAACTTTGGCCTGCAACTTACTTTGGCCAGTTGGTACCAAGCGGCGAAATCAGCGAAATGATATCGCCAGCGAAAATAAGTTGCTTTACAGTACAAGATTTCATTGCTCCAATAATCACTATTTAAACTTATTGTTGCGACTTTGGCCGCACCTGCCGCACCGGTTCCGATGCCCCTGCAAGCGGTCCAGCGTATCACTGCGGGGCCCGGCGATTCAGTTGTTAACCTGTTCAATGCACAGGCTTGTGTTCATCAGAAGCGGGCGCTTGCACGTTTGCAGAGCTGCATGATGGACAAAGTCCAGGCCAGGCCTGTTCCTTGTGTCGGATGTTAGGACACTCAACTCTCTCCTACACCAGGAGGATGGGGAGGGGGGGGGGGGGGGCTCTTGTACAGGCTAATCCTGCATGGCAGAGTTACTTGCTATCTCTACTCTGCCAGCAGATCCTGCATTTCACCGTGTTGTCACCTAGCCATTCGGAACCTAATTTATTCTTCATATCGCGCTTTGGGAAACGCTTTGCAATGCGCCGTCGAAGCTTGATTCATTCTTCGTATCACACTAGGGGAAACACTTTGCCGATATGCACTGCAACCACTGTGTGACGGCCGGCTATTAATAAGTTTAACTCCATTGAGCTTTATCGTGAAGTTGTCATTATTCTGTGTTCAGTGTATCCTGCATGGCTGCTTGCATGCTCTTTTCATTGATGTTTATGCAGTCTATGATGACCCATTCGACCACCCCGACTATGTGGCGAAAATCGACTTGCCATTGAAAGATCTTGACGGTGTCGAGTTAAGGCGCAGGTTGCAGACCAAGGGAAAACTAACCAAGAGCCAAGTGCGGAGGTTGGAGAAGATGTCGAGCGAAACGGCGCATAACAACGAGATGATCGGGTGGATTCAGGACTATCATCGCGATGGATATGTTGCACTGTGCGAGATTATTCAGGAGTGGGGAGTTGTGCCAGAACTGTTGGAAGACATGAAAAACCTGCTGTAACCCAAGTGACGTGTGAAAAAGGTAAGCAATCCCTGTCACGGTCCATTGGAAACGTGCTCCTATGTCTTTCTAGTACATTCAACATGCTCGGAACGCACGTGCGTTTGGAGCCGAGAGACTTTCTGAGTCTCACTCCCTCGTGCACAGCCTGGTTTCCACTTGGTTGCGAGTTGTTGTTTCTCACCAGTCTGTCTGCACATTAAGCAATCCCAGTAGTAAAACAGTACATGAGTGTACACTGCTGACAGTCGAGAGGCTGGACGGTGTCGGGGATTGCAATAACTGTCTTTTTCCGGCAAAAAGATTCATAGGGCTGGCCGTGTAAGCGGCATTTTGACATGTTGCTTCTTGGAGACTATTCTGTTCTTCTGTCTGATAGCATTGTTGTCTCCTTGAAAATCGCTCATACGTATGTGTATAATTTATTATCGCATAGAGGGTCAAGCCTTTGGCTTTGTGCGGTATCCCTGGTAACAGGGCATGCCTGAAATTGTCGTCTCAGTTGTCAGTGAATGGGATTTTCGGTCTTTCACCACTTTGCTGGTGAGCTGATCTCCTCACCTCCCACCGCTTTGGGAGCTGCACCTGCGCCTTGACCCTTGAAGGGTGGTGGCGTTCCTACGGATGCGGAAAACTCGGCCTCTAGCCGAGTCTGACTCGAACCGTGAATTATAAAAAAGAAATTTGCCATGCAGTGTACAGTATACATTGTTGTGTTGTTCACTTCATGGCTGTCCCGCTCTAATACTCACTACAATGGGGGCGACTGAAATCCGACCCCAGCTCGGTGCACTCACATTGATTCCAAAAACAAACCAGCACACGTTTCTACACTGCCAAGAGACCGCTACTGTGTGTTCAAAAGTATTGACCTCTGGTTTCAAATAAGAACCTTAGGCCAGCATTTATACCTCATAATCTGTGATCATTTTGTGCATAACAATTTTCCGAAAATGGACGTGTGTTATCCAATCGTCTAGAAAGTTAGTAGGTTTCAAATTAAAATATAAGTAACACTGGGAGAGCTGCCTGAGCAATATCCCGAAGAAATTTTTGAAAAACTCCAACCGAATTTGAATTATGTGAAAAAGTCTAGAGATCTATATTCTTGAAACGCACTATAGAATCGGCGCCGCGCTCGATCACGAAAGTCAGGGGTCGGATTTCAGTTGCCATCACTGTACAGTGAAACCTGATTTAAGCGACCACCCCACGGTACCACGGTGCAAGCACCACACGGTGCAAGCACCACCCCATGGTACCACGGTGCAAGCACCACCCCACGGTACCACGGTGCAAGCACCATCCCACGGTACCACGGTACCACGGTGCAAGCAAAAGCGGTCGTTAAAGCCAGGTGGTCGTTAGAACCAGGTCCAACAGGTTCAGTGTAGATCTGTCGGTGCATGGAAAAACGGTCGTTAAGAGCAGGTGGTGGCTAAAACCAGAGGTCGCTTACACCAGGTTTTACTGTACATGCAATACACAAAGTGTCTGTAGTCTTTGCTGCAAACACTGCTCAATACCTCAAAAGGGGCAGAGCTTACCACACAGGGCAGAACAACAGAGACCAAAAATCCTTCTCGTGATTCCGAGTTTCGTGTTTCAAAAAACACTCATCAGACGAATGATGAGTGTTTTCTGAAACACGATAATCGGAATCACGAGAAGGATTTTTGGTCTCTGTTGTTCTGCCCTGTGTACGTGTAGTACAAGTAGTTATTACTGCGTCTTGTTGTTTTCTTGTGTGTGGACACAGGATGATGGTGATGATGATGGTGATGGTGGCCATGATTGATCAATACTGGATCGCGGCGAGAATTTGTTCTGTCTGTCTCTCTCTCTTCCTGTGAGTCCTTCTGTCTGTCTGCCGGTACATCTTTCTGTCCGTTTTTCTGGTTCACCTCAGACTCTAGACTGAGCTCTCTCCTTCACTTTCTCTCGCTCTCGCTTGCTCTCGCTCTCACCTAGTCTCCCGCTCCCACTCACTCATTTAGTCGCGATATTCTTCATTTGCCTGCTGCATTCGCTGTCGTAAGCACTACTTCCTTTGAGTATGCCTTTCTTCTTCTTCTTCTTCTCGGCCTTTCAATTGCTACATGACTCGCTAGAGACTGCTCTCCCTTAGCTTTGACTTAGCTCCTTTTATTGGTACATGATCACAAAGTATTTTTTTTCACTCCTTAGCAGTGCAGCACCATGGGCCCCGCGTGCTGGGGCAAAGTTGCACGGAACCAGAATGCTGGATTTCCCCGCGCGTGCCCTTCGCTCCGTGCACAGTACCTGACCCATGTGTAGAGTCTAGATAGATTGTCTGAGTTGTGTTGAATTGTCATTCAATTTCTTTTTATTCTCAAAAACATTATACATATATCTCTACATTCTATCTCTGTGACTTAGAACCTCGCTTTAGGTCCGTATTTGACTATTTGAGCTTAGACACTGCTGGAAAAGCAGTGCACTAGTCCGACGTCATCATGTCGAATAGCGGAACATGTTGTAAAAATTCTTTCCGGTTGAACCGGTATACCCATAGAATTATCAGCTTCTGCGCGGCCTCATTTCTGCCTATCCTTTTTCACTTTGGCTACCCTTTTTCACTTTTTTGCAATGCTTTTTCAAATGGCAACTTCTTTAATTTTTCTAAGGAAGTGCAATTTTCACAGCAGCCATTTTCACAAATAATTGCTGTTGCCGGTTGAACCGGTATGCGTAATCACATTCTGCTCGTCTTTTATTCCTGCATTTGCTTTTCATTTTTACTGTCTCTTTGCCTTCGTACTTCTATTTTCAAAGCACCTTTTTATTTCATTTTTCAAGGCACCGCAATTTCCAAAGCAGCCATTTATATAAATGATTTCTACTTTCCTAAAGCACTGCCACCTGGTATTTTCAAACTGCAAATCTCTCGCCCTAGATTCATTCACCTTGGGGAAAGGAGGGGGTATGACTCTCTCGTTTTCACGTGGACATTGAGATTGTTACAGTGGCCTGCATGTGCTGTTCTTTTGCGCACGACACACAGTGACCCGGTTGAGAGGGTGTGTGTACAGCATGGTGATTAGTGACCCGGTTGAGAGGGTGTGTGTACAGCATGGTGATTAGTGACCCGGTTGAGAGGGTGTGTGTACAGCATGGTGATTAGTGACCCGGTTGAGAGGGTGTGTGTACTGTACAGCATGGTGATTAGTGACCCGGTTGAGAGGGTGTGTGTACAGCATGGTGATTAGTGACCCGGTTGAGAGGGTGTGTGTACAGCATGGTGATTAGTGACCTGGTTGAGAGGGTGTGTGTACAGCATGGTGATTAGTGACCCGGTTGAGAGGGTGTGTGTACAGCATGGTGATTAGTGACCTGGTTGAGAGGGTGTGTGTACAGCATGGTGATTAGTGACCTGGTTGAGAGGGTGTGTGTACAGCATGGTGATTAGTGACCTGGTTGAGAGGGTGTGTGTACAGCATGGTGATTAGTGACCTGGTTGAGAGGGTGTGTGTACAGCATGGTGATTAGTGACCTGGTTGAGAGGGTGTGTGTACAGCATGGTGATTAGTGACCTGGTTGAGAGGGTGTGTGTACAGCATGGTGATTAGTGACCTGGTTGAGAGGGTGTGTGTACAGCATGGTGATTAGTGACCCGGTTGAGAGGGTGTGTGTACAGTAGTTGCCACGAACTGGGAATCCGGCCACAACGCCTGCACAAATACATACGATGACATAACAAAGCCCTAAAAAATATTATAATAAAAAATTACTAAACAGCAATAGCAGCCTCTGAAACCGCCAGCGTGGCGGGAGGCTCTTGTTGATCCATTCTTTGTTGATATTTTCCAAATAATGTTCTAGACCCTCTAAGGCACATTATACATGACCTTAGGAGGGCAAAGGAAATGCGGCACCTGACAAATGCCATGACATGTGAATATGGTTCATTACATCTGTCAGCCAGCAGCGATGCGATTCTCTTATACAGGCCGGTTGCTGAACGCCCAAAACCACCTGACGCCGTCATGACCACCGGGGCAAACGACGCACTAGAGAGGTTAAGTTTCACGTAAAATTCTTACGTCCGTGCACTTTTACGTCAAAAGTAAAAAAACTCACGTAAAATTTGACGTGTTTTACGTGAGTTGACTGTCCGCACGTAAGTTCATGACGTGGGTTTTTGGAAGTTTCGCTTGGTTATCCCGATCGAATTTGTGTGAGTTTCCGGAGTTTTATCGAGTTGTATCGAGTTTGTTGGAAAATTTGATATTTGTGCAAACTAAACCTGAATCCTGCCAGGCAAAATTTCACGTCACGTCGCACGTGTAACTTAACCTCTAAAAACTACACGTAACGGGAGATTTGCACCGCGTTTTGAAAAAGGGCAAAAAACGTGTAACTTAACCTCTCTATTCTCGACATGCATACCCGTAAAATCTCGCCAGAACGCCCCGTCTCTCCTATCCGCCCCTCCCTGACTTCTTGTCAGGGACGTGATTGATTGTATCCTCGTACGATCATATGACTCTGTCACAGTCTGTGATACCGTACTGTACTGCAGACGCGTGCTCGACCCCATTGGAAATTATAGCAATAAAACTGCTTTTTAAAATATGGCAGCTTTCTAAAAAAAGTTGTTGTGTTCTAGTCCTGGGTCGACCGGTCCTTTATCAAATTGCTTCCAAATTGCCTTGGACTCATGGTAAAGAGGCTACGAGGGTAGCCCTTTCCCAAAGGTGCTCCTTTAATTCGCACTTAGTGCTTTTCGCGTCCCTCAAAATATGCTGAAAAAGTGCTCTTTTTTCAGTGAAAACAGGCAAAAAAGTGCTCTTTTTCAGTGAAGCATATAGCCATGCAACATGTTCAGATATGAACCCAAGCTGAGAAATGAATACGAACTCTTCCATTTATGGGTCCACGAAAGGCAAAACAGGAAGTAAAGTTAAAAAACAAACCACTTTTTACAGCATTGTATACAAGCGGCGTGCCAAGGCCCATGGAGCACTCGGAAACTGTGATGGCATGCATGAGCAAACAGATTTTAGCACTTTATCAGCTCAAAAAGCTCAAAAAAGGGCGATATTCACCAAAAACGCAATAAAGGGCGAAAGAAACGGGCTTTTCCAAAAAGGGCCAAAAAGGGCGAAAAAGGGCGAGCACCTTTGGGAAAGGGCTATACGAGGGGAAAAGGTCTTCTCGCTTTTCATCCTGTGTGGGATTATTGTGAGGTTTTGTGTGAAATTTTCGGCAATCACATTTCGTTAATTTCTTACTTTTTAGACAGGCCAGTTTGGAAGCAATTTTATAAAGGACCGGTCGACCCAGGACTAGAACACAATAACTTTTTTTAGAAAGCTGCCATAAAGCAGTTTTTATTGCTAAATTTCTTGTTTTTGATGTCACCAATCGACGAATGCCCTAGATGATGGCCTCTACATCATATCAATACCGTATTATACGCATTGATAATCATGCAAGCCTTTTCTTGCAGAAAATGGCACTTGCATAATCATGTTCTTGTGCATTGGAAACATGTGGGTAGTGGTGGTGATACTTTTTTTTATACGCTGGTCATGCTGTTAGCCCTTTCCCAAAGGTGCTCGCCCTTTTTTTTGTGTCGCAGATGTTTTTGTTGATCCTGTGTTCATAATTGTAGTCATGGGTTTGTCGTGATAAGGTCATCGGATCTTCCCAAGTTGTACAATGTACTGTTGAGATACCGAATTCAAATAAATCAATACCATACCATACCATACTGCATAATATTGCACTGAAATCGTAATCATGTTAACGTCGATACAGCTCTTGGAAGTAGTTCAATGACTTCAAAGTGTTAGTCCACGATTGTCTAAAAACAACACAGCAAAGGAGGAAAAATAAACATGTTACGATGTATTAACATGTAGACAAATACATTGTTGAGCCAGACACTTCGTCCCAACAACTACACTGATCCTGAGGATATACATGTAAGAAGCAAGGATACTATGGTTGGAGGTACTGAGAGATAAACAAGGCACTAATAAATTTCCATAACCTTGAACCTTCCAAGTTGGAAGGCTGTCGGTTAACGCTACGGAGATGTGTTGAAGCAAGGTGTCAGGACGTCGAATGTCTCAGTACTCTGTCAGTTTTGTGCCTAGTTGTTGCACGTTCTGACTGTATATTGTATCTAGTTACAGTGGTGGAGAGTTACTCTTAACTCGTTCCATATGTCCTTTTCCTTTCTACTTTTAATAAAGTGTTCTACATATTTTGGTGAGTATGAATGATATCCAGTCGAACCTCTTTAGCCTAGGACGAACACCAAGGGACCGATGGTATTTTGTTCTGTGAGTTTATCTTAACCCTATTTTATAACCAATGAATGCAATTATTTCTCCAATAGATACGAATAGATTTCTTCTACAGCGAAAGGTTCTAAGCCAGACCGACTCATTGACTCGCCTCGTATGAAACAAATGAGTCACTGAACCTTTCTTTAGCAACATGACAGCAACTGAAACAGCAACAGAGGAAGTACGATTCATGTACAGCTAGGGTCAGGCGGATTCTGCCGGCAGAAAAATTGGCAGAATTCGGTACTTTTTCTGGTAAGTTTCATGCATGTTGGGTATGTGGATGAAAAAATGGAGCAGAATTCGAGGAATTGCCCGCCATAAGGTTTGTATGGTTCTGCCAATTTCACTGCTTTTCGAGCAGAATCTGCCACCTTTTCGAGCAGAATCCGCCGGTCCCTATGTACAACACATTCTTGCAGGTACTACAAACAAATTGCAGATTGTAATTCTTGCTTTGCCGGCACACAATTTTATTTGGGGCAGTGCAGTCTCGGCGCTACTCACAATCAAACAGCCCAGACTCGAGTAAACAAATCCAATCGTACGAGCTCTGCTTCTTAGCAGGGTGCAACCTGGGCATGGAAGCTTGCCCATGTAGTCCCGGTTCACAAGCGGTCCTCCAGATCTTTGGCATCTAACTACCGACCAATATCACTGCTAACGATCATGTCGAAAGTCATGGAGGGCATTGTAAACACGCCACTGGTCAACTATCTAGAGAAGCATGAGGTGTTGCCAAACAGCCAGTTTGGATTCCGACGTGGTAGAGGAACCGCAGATATCTTAACGGCTCTCCAACATGAATGGGTCCACACCATAAGTACTGGCGGTTGTGTCCAGGTCCTCGCCGTGGATATTGCCGGTGCGTTTGACCGGGTATCGCACACAGGAGTGCTGTACAAAGCAAAGCAGGCCGGCGTCGACGGACGCCTGCTTGTATGGCTACAGGACTACCTCACCAACCGAAACATCCGCGTTGTGGTTGGAGGCCAGACGTCAGATGCTCAACCCATCCAGGCTGGTGTCCCCCAAGGCAGCATCCTAGGACCCAGCCTCCTCCTTCTATACACCTCTGACATTGAACAATGTTTAACTCCAGGAACGCAGTTGAGCAGCTTTGCAGACGACACCACACTCTACAGCTTAGTGCAGCCAACTGACGATCTCCAACAGTCCACTGCCTCCCTCCAAGGGTCCCTCAACAGTCTTGAGGAGTGGGGCCGCAGGTGGCGTATCTGTTTTGAGCCAGCCAAGACACAGCGCATGACTCTACATCGCAAGCACGTTCCCCCCTGCACTCCACCGGTCACCTTTGGAGGGTAAGCACTCCAGGAGACAGATACCCTGAAGCTGCTGGGAGTCATGCTCAACCCTACTCTCTCCTACAGAGCGCACACTCGCAGTGTTGCACTGCGCGCCTCCCAAAGGCTGGGTTTCCTACGAAAGGCAGCACCCATCCTGGACGACCATGGTCGAGTCACGGTCTACAAGGGATTCGTGCGACCCCTACTTGAATATGCCCCACTGGTCTGGTCGAGCGCAGCCGCAACTAACATGGCCCAGCTGGACAAGGTTCAGCAACGTGCCCTGCATTTCCTGGGACCTGGAGCCATCCTCCAAAGTCTTCAGCTTCGTCGGATGGTGGCAGCCCTGTCATACTTGTTCAAGCTGCACTACATTCCAGGGCCTCCCCAGGT